CACTGCAGCTCTCACCCCACAGGTAAGGGCACTGCAGCTCTCACTGCAGCTCTCACCCCACAGGTAAGGGCACTGCAGCTCTCTTCAGTGCACTGCAGCAGGGATGGAGGAGCAGACACCCCTGCCTTGCTCCTGGCTGTGCCCTGGCACTGCAGGTGGCTCAGGGCTGTGGAGCAGAGCAGGTTTGGGTCAGGGCTGTGGAGCAGAGCAGGTTTGGGTCAGGGCTGTGGGACACAGCAGGTTTGGGTCAGGGAGCAGAGCGGGTTTGGCTCAGGCCTGTGCTCACGGAGCCCTCACAGGGCTGCTGCCCTTTTTCTGATGTCCCCCAGCAATCAGGGACCTGCAGCCCTGCCAGAGTGCCTGGAGGTGAGTGGTATCGATAATTCCTGATAATTATCAGTGTGGTTCCATGGACACAGCTGTTCTTGGACCCAGCTCCCTCATCAAGCCCCGGGGACGTGCCGTGGGCTCCTGCACAATTCCCTGTCCCTGGGCAAGGAGCTGATGCTGCTCCTTGCCTGGGGAACAGAATGGGAAACAAAACCTTGCTTGGAAGCAGCAAGAGGCTCAGGGTTTGGGGTGGGGTGACTGGGGTCAGTGCTGCCCCCGGAGCAGGGGGAGCCTTTGCTGCAGGACAGGGACAGGGACATGGGATTCAGCTTCCACCCTGCAATCCTTTTTTCCCCAAAAACATTGAATAACTCTGTAATCCTCTGTGCAATTTTCATGGAACCTGCTCACTTCAACACCTCCTGAATGTTTGGGCTCAGACTAATCAATTTACATGCCATAAACATCTCTGTTAGGGAATTTGGAAACAAATGTTATGAATAGTGAGCTGGTGAAGAGAGTAATTATCTGTCTAACCTGCTGGCGAGAGACCTGGCTGTACCTACTTTTTTTTGATAAAATATTTGAATTGGAGTTGGTTCCAAGCACCTCTTCAGTGATGTTTGTTGCTCAGGGATATTCTGCCAACAGATGGTATTTTTCTAAAATAACGTGTTGAATTTGATTCCTGTTTGTGAGGGTTTCTTGTTTTCTTGGGCTCGTTCTGGGTTTTGGGCTCTTCCTCTGGAGCAGGATGTGTTCAGAGCAGATGGAGTTTGTGCTTTGGCGCTGTGGGGACGCTCTGCACCCGCTCCCGTCCCTGCAGGTGCCACTTTGGTGCCTGGGTGACACGTGGGGACAGTCCCACCCACAGCCTGGCTGAGCTCCGGGGCTGTGGGTGCTGCTCAGAGCAGTCCTTGCAGAAGGAGCTGCACATGGCTGAGCCAGGGAGGAGCTGGGAGCTCCTGGCACCCCGGGCTCCTGGAGCTGCTCCCGTGCCCTGCTGCGTGTGCAGAAATGGACCTTGGGTTTGTCCCCTCGTTCAGCTCTGCAATCCCTCGTGCCACAAACACCTTTCATTATCTCGACCTGCAGGATGGACTGGCAGCCCAGTGGAAGGGAATTTTTCAGAGCACTGAAGGGCCCTGTGCTGCTGCCTCCCTGCCCCAGGAGGGACTGATCAGAGGGGTTTGGTACATTGGGCTGATGGAAGGGATTGATCAGAAGGGTTTGGTGCTTTTGGTTGATTGATTGATCAGAGGGGTTTGGTGCTTTTGGCTGATGGATTGTTCAGAGGGGTTTGGTGCTTTTGGCTGCTGGAAGGGATTGAGCAGAGGGGTTTGGTGCTTTTGGCTGATGGATTGATCAGAGGGGTTTGGTACATTGGGCTGATGGAAGGGATTGAGCAGAGGGGTTTGGTGCTTTTGGCTGATGGATTGATCAGAGGGGTTTGGTACATTGGGCTGATGGAAGGGATTGATCAGAGGGGTTTGGTGCTTTTGGTTGATTGATTGATCAGAGGGGTTTGGTGCTTTTGGCTGCTGGAAGGGATTCAGCAGAGGGGTTTGGTGCTTTGGCTGATGGAAGGGATTGATCAGAGGGGTTTGGTGCTTTTGGCTGATGGATTGATCAGAGGGGTTTGGTGCTTTGGCTGATGGAAGGGATTGATAAGAGGAA